AAGGCTTGAAACATGCTGCTGCAATCTATCTTGAATCCGTTGAGCTTTTCAGTATCTTCAAGGAAGGTTATATTAAACCTTTGTAGTACTGTTTCTTCAGTTGTCTAGTGCTTCTTGAGCTTTAGTTTCATCTTGATAACCAATAGGTAGTGATCCATCTTAGCCCCTCTCCTAGTTCTCATGTTTTCTATTGATCTGAATTCTTCGGTGATGCAGATATGGTAGATCGGATTCTCTGTAATATGATCCGGTGAGACCTATGTAGCTTTGTGTATGCGTTTGTAAGGGAGTAACCACTTTGTTGAATGCATACAAAGTTGCAAATCTGTAACCATTCTCGTCCATTTCTCCCAGTCATATCCGGTGTTGTCCATTCCGACTTTGGCGTTCAGATCTCCCTTCAGGATTGTCGGATCCTTTCCTGGGCATCTCGCTATGGTCGATTGCAGCCATTCATATAACTGATCTTTATCGCCGTCATTGCTATCATTGGCGGGTACATAACATTGGGTAACGTTTCCATCCTTCTTTGCTTTGAAGGATCTTGAAATAAGATTCCCATTCTATAAATGTTTTTCATCATTCTTTAGACAGCACCCTGTGAGAAACATTTTCTTCTTCATAACCTGAGTACAACATCTCTCCTAAATCTAACCTTTTCTTTCCAAATTGGGTTCAACGGGTTTCACTGTTTCCTAGAACCGTCAAGTTGTATCTCGTTTCCGTAGCTATTTGATTAATTCTCCCGGTCTCCCACATTGTTCAAGCATTCCATGCACCTATATGAATTGTTGCTCTGGTCGTTAGGAGCATCGGCTATCACTAGTTAAACAACAAAATGAATATACATCTCGAATCTACTCAGTACTCAGTTAATTAGTAATAACAATTATTTTCAGCTACTTAACGACAAAATATTACATAAACCATAGATTGTGCATTTATTTCTATTTAGCCTTTGTTTATTTCAGCTAATATCGCACAAGTTTGAAGAAATGAAATTCTGTGGAACGATATTAGAACAAAACCAAACTGGATCGCTCCTTTCTCCTGTTTTGTTTTGCCTTCCATGAGAAATAATCAGGGAAAACCCATAAAATATGAAAGACGATACTTTTGTTTGTTTTCTTAAATAGACTTTAAAGTAGAACTCAAATATATTTCTATTTGTATTATAATTGCTTACTAACTCTATTAGATTTTCCTTTTTCTATACAGAGGACATTTTATCACCATTAATATTGTGCATATTTATAACTTATTCATTAAGAGTATTGGACATAGCAATATATACACTATTAAGAGTGGTAATGCATCCTTTTCTTCCTATGTTTACTATTTTCCATCGACAATAAAAATGTTTCTGGATTAGATCTTCTTCTAATATATATATATATATATATATATATATATATATATATATATATATATATATATATATATATATATATATATATATATATATATAATCGATGGAATTACACGTCAGGTGTAGATGTAGGGCCTCATTGATAATCGTAACCTACAATTGAGCCAAAATTGGTTTCAGTGATACAGTCTTACTTATATTTTATAGCCCTGTCTACATCCAGTTTAGATTGATTGCATACTTTTCATTTTTAGGAATCATCTGTAAAATAATAATTAACTCTGTAGAAGCGTTATTTTGTATACACGCTTAACTTAGTCCTTTGTTCGTCAATCTGTCTGCCTATCGATCGATTTTGTTCTTGCTTTCTTATGTCTGATTTACACTTCCAGATATATAGGTAGACCAAAACGCAGTTACATAAACCTTCCATTTAACTCTTGATTTTACGTTGTCTGACGAATGGTAGATCAGCAATTCGAGTCATAAAACATCCCAAAATGGTAATAAACCGTAGTGTTTCTGAAGTTACTTCAACGGCACTATAGCAACCAAATTGGGTAGCGAATTAGAGTTCAGTTAGCACAGAGATCTCATGTTTTAATTTCAAACTAATTGAATTTTCACCCAAAGACATGTGGAATTGTCATGATTTTGCATTCATTACTTATGTTTATATTTCTAGACAGTCTAGGACCTTATCATATTTTATATCGTCCACATTAACTGAAGTACTGTTACTGTTTTCCTGCATTATCGCTGACAAATTATCTATAAATACTGTTCTCAACACTACTCTTATAATGATTTCCCGGAATACATGTTTATGAATTACAGCCAGGTAAACATGAGATAGTGCTAGATTAGTATTTATGAACAGGTAACGAATCTCTCTCAAAATATTCATCTTATTTTTTAGCATTTTTGTGTTCCACATGTCTCTTGGAAATCAATAAAAGTGTATAGGGACGAAATGTATTTGAAGAATCATTTGCTGTATGAAATACGCACATTTTCTTATCTAAGAGTTATAAGACAAATGTGTTTTGGTATGAAAAACCAAGTTTTATTTTACACAACTAGAACACATGAAACTTTCAAGTAAATAAAGCAACATCTAACTACGATGGTCAGTAAACTAATTGCATTATTTTTACTATCACTTACCAAGTCACATTAACAAAATATTTTGCTGGAATAAACAATTTAAAAAATAAATAAAGTGGAAACTGTTAAATTTTCAGAACCTAGTATCTCAACAAGGTCAGTTTATTTAGCTGATGAAATTATTTTGACTGAAAAAGCTCCTCTCCTTCATACCCCTACCCCTGCAGTTTCCAGCATTCAAACTTGGCAGAATCACTACTAAACATCAGTGTGACCTGCAATCATGGGGTCCATAAATTGTACCATCCCTTAGGTCCCTGAATAGAGTCCAAAATTTTATGCGTGGGTCTCACACAAGAAACCTCTATCAAATCTTAACTGTCAAAATATCTTCAACTTAAATAATAAAACTGTAGAACCCGGCGACAATGGTCAGAAATATCTATAAGCTGAAAATGACTGAGAACATTCGACAGCTTGTGTTGATGAAAAAATTATTGTGGCATTTAATTAGAGATGGATTATCAATCCATTGCAGATAATGTTGGCTAAAATTTTACCGAAGTTTGATCTCAGCTAACTCAACGAATTGTTGTATCACCACTTTTAGCTGCAGCGATCACAATATGGATTAAAAAGGTCATTGTTGTGTGGTTGTGTCGGAGTTACTATTAGAACCATAAACAAGAATTCACATAAATAATATTGAACGAATGTAAGATAGACTAAAACACAATTTACGACTCTAAATGAATAACTTCAAGGAATCATAAACATGACTACTACTTAAAATGGTTCCATTGCAAATAGGATCTACGTAAAATATCCATAAATCCATAAATCACATTAAATATACCCACAGATCTCAAATTATTATCTATATTCACAAATAAACACATTACTTTCGCCGATGTTCTAATCAGATAGAGCTAGTTATGTATGATATGCTTTTGTATCTCAAATGAAATGTCTTACTAACCCGATACCACTTGGCTGTCAACGAGTTTGACCCAGTTTGAACTAAGGCCAGTTTATTTCACTTTACCGGATATTTGAAGGACGGTGATTAGACATCACATGAGAACTAGAAACCGATAAGCTTAATAAAACTTTTTATAACTTGCAAACACACGATCAATTTCACAAACAATATGTACTAAATACAAATATATAACATCACCATAACATAACCGGTCATATAACTTTTCCATATCACTTTGCTTTAGAAAAAAAGCAGATGATAGTGTGGTGTATGCTACTTATTCCGGTAGATATAAGTAGTATGTAGCCGCAATCAGAAGTGGAACGCCTAGCAGCAGAAGGTGAAATTGAAGAGAACAGAAAGGAAATCGAGGAGCAATAAAAATAACAATAGAATTATGGGAATAATGGAATAGATAAAAGACAATGCAAAGATGTGCAAAAGATGAATTTAACGTATGATTTTCATATTTTGCTTTAGAAAACAAATTGGTCTTCCCCACCTGTTTTTTTCACTACAGTAGTACATGTTGGCATCTGCGAAACACAGTTGAGACAATCATCATGAAACCAGTCAGTCATAGACAAAATAATACCCCAATATGTCCTGAAACAGCTGAGAGTCAGATCTCCCTCTCGAAATGCTCTCATGTGGCCACACACATACAACCACTGCCAGAGAAGTTCTACTCACTGCCTTCTCGTGGCGGGGGTGTTGCTTACAAAATTGAGAGGACGAAAAGCAAGTGTCCGGCGCTTTAGCTGGGTTAGTGGGCATGGAGAGTTCACCTACGGGAGTTGGGAAACCCTCATTCCAAACCAATGGTGCACATGAGCTCTAGTACCCTGAAGGAACAAATGGCATATGGACTAATCGTTAGTCACTGACTACCATGGAATTGCACCTCCTGACGTTGCTCCACTGCTTTGTGGATTAGACGTTTAGGTCAAAGGCTCTAGTTGTGGCCCCCTAAGAAAACCACCTGATTCGGTTCAGGTACTCAATCAGTAACCCAGCCCTGACACAAACTGAATGATTTATGTGGTATATATTTATTTGGTGCCTCCTTGTACCAAGGTTTATGTGTTTAAATAAATACCTGGAACATATATGTATTGGTCCAGGGACAGAGTAGTAAGGATCCAAGCGTGATACATACCCTACGTAGATTACACAGTACTACCACTAATCTGTCGAGAAGAATAGTTCCTAAAGATATAATGTGGGGAGTCAGAAAAAACTGATTATATGGCAAATATTTAATCTATAAGTGGAGTGAATATCATTAGAGGTCAATACTAAGAATAAGATAGTGAGTTCAGCTTTAGTAAAGAGAACAAGTATAAACAAAAATATCACACACCAGTACAGCTTTGTTGGTACAGATGGTTAGCTTTATATACTATATCCATATCTTGAAATTGTGAAAAACAGGCTACACTTTTGCATTCTTCAATGCTAACGGCCAAAGTCATGACCTAAATCCCTCATTTATCAAGAAGCAAAAACCATTTTTATACATTTGATAAACGAAATAGATATCAAAACCTAGAACCCAATGATATTTAGACGAAAACGCAGCGTTCCTAATCAGTGGACCCGATAATCACGGTTTGAAGTAAATGCCTAGAACTGACTGCACAAGTCAACAGAGAAGTTCAGAGCAAAACACTAACAAGCAACAAAGCAAAATGCGGACACTGTTAAATATTCGTAAAAAAAATATCCAGTTAATTTTCTCCATCTCTAAGTAAAGACCCGATAATCAAAATGCAGTTTGAGGAAAGAATAAAAGACACCCCTAATAAAAAAGGTCCATTCGGAAGTACAATATTGTAACAATTTATCCCCAAAACCTTACCATCAACTGATATTTGCCAAAACTTTGATTAGTGTGAAAATGACCAACTACCTAGAATTCTGTTTTTATTGTCAAAAATTTGCTTCAAGAAAATTTTATAATGAATTGACTGCTTTGTATTCAAAACGCTGACATTGCGAAAAATTCAAGGTAAAACGCGGCACTCTTTGAGTTGCAGTAATTTATAAAAGTTGTACACAGAATAATAAATCATACATGTTCACAGTTGTTGAACACTACTGTTACTTGGAAGATTTACCATGCCGAAGATTTTTGAAAACAGTTATTCGACTGCGAACATCACGATCACTAACACTTTCACTATTGCTTGAACTTTGACGAGTTGCTTCTACACGGCTTTCTAATAAATCTGGATGAATAAGTATGTCGTCCATATCCATCCGTAAACTTTGAGCCTATAAAATAGAACAAAAACTCATAGTATCATAGTTCGCAGATTCGAATTCTAATCCACATACCGAATAAACTCAATGGCAAAATTTAAATCCTCGAGTCAGTACATCACTATATAATGGATCCTTTGAAGCTTGAAAAGCCCCGATTATCAACATTTTTACTGGCATACTTCAGAGAATAGGACATCTATCATCTTTGAAATACTTTTATGCATTAGAAATAATACCCACCTATATAAAGCGAACTAGTAAACGAGCCAAACGGTTAATTTGACGCACACTACAACAGCATAAAACTAGTGAGCTACTCTAACTCCCACTGCAAAAAGATACATACTTTATGCTACAGCATTAAGACCTAGTTGTGTGATTAATTCGAATGCCTTATATGTGAATCCTAATATTCCTTTTATTGGTTGTGTCTATCTATATAACCGTTGGTCTTATTCTATCATTATATTGATCTATAAATACTTAACACACTAATTGACACCAGAGAACTCGTGTTCGTATCACTATAACCCAGATCAGATCTGTCTAGTTTGGTCCTGAATTTATTTTACTACAACATATTTGCTGGTTACTCTGTTACCACTGTTAAATCTATTCTAATACAATTACTGGTGACCCTAAGTGTCAGTGTTAATGTAAACGCACTACAATTACAGAGGTATATATCTGGTGTCCATGCAATACTGATTTTACTCCAGTTCGGTTGTACCTATTCAATCTAATTACACTTTCATTGTTTACTACCACTATATATGCTAGTGAATCCAATTACTGAAATATATATTCAAGAACATTTGGATTTTAGTTCTTACTTAATTCATTTGCCCTCGGTCATGGATAAAGATAACGAACTCTTAAAATCTCCACGAAGCAACAAGCAGGTTTTTGAATTAAAACTCCTTTTGTCAACTCTATAGAAGTCTATACCTTGAATAGATTATTGTTTGAAATCTCTTGAAAAATGAAAATATATACTTTAAGATCATGACACGTCCTATTATAGTTGAATCACACCATATATCGATGAATACATGGTGACCTGGAAGCAGCATGTTGACCCAACAGCTTATGTAAATTACTGCCATAAGGTTTATTTTCATACATCATATACAAAACATAGCAGTATATCAAATCATAGACCTGCCAAAGTTCCCTTACGACAGTTTTGTTGTTTTATAACCACAAGCAAGAAAACGTACGTCTGATTTCGCCATTTGGCCACGCAAGGCCTCTTTAATAGACAATGACGCTTCCAAAATCTCCTTTTGATGTAACTCTGATTCATATCGCCGCTCATTAACCATCTTTATTTCATTAGCTATATGAGCTAATACAGACTCGACTCGGACACCCCATGAATTCAGCTTTTGATGCAGTTCATCTATCTGCTAATTGGTGAAATATATTATCATTTTACCTGCTCAATACGTATATCACGCCCGATGGCAGAGTTGACCTCTAACAACGCTTTCTGTTGATCAAGTTTTCCTGTTATGGCTTCAAGATAAAAAAGTTCGATAACAAGGTCTTCAAGTTCTCTTGAAGATGCAATATCGAGCTTCTTAAACAGAAGACCATAAGGTATGTGCTTCTGGTTATGTGCTTCATCAATTATTGAGAGCTGCTTTAACTTCCGAACTTGAGTTGGTCGTAAATCAGGATATGCAGACCGATTGGTGGAAAGCAACTCGAACGTCCCGTAGCAAAATAAGTTCATTAAATTGTAATACTGAGAATATTCCCCATTCTCAATCGATTTAATTTTTGGATGATCAAGAAATTCACCAAAGACGAACAAACCTCGAGAAAATAAAGGCATATGTCCAACCAGAAATCAAACCTGGACATTCAGTGATAGACTGAATAAGCTCAGGTAGTTTAGATAGGTCTGTATTGGATAATTGACTCAAAAACGACTCTATCTTCTCCGAAGACATAAGTTGCTGCGAATGCGACCCTGAGGGTCAAAATGAGCACGTGCACTGACCTACAAACGACAAACATTCAGTCTTCAGTCTTCAATTATAAGGGTAGTAGGTTGGTAGACCTGTGTCAGTCCTGAAAGTTTGCTTACCACTGAAGTTCCAACTTTTCCTTGAAAATGTTCACTGTTGAGGTTGATACCACCTGTTCAAGTATAGCGTTCCAGTCATTGACCACTCGATGAGAAAAACGAAACCCCACTTTAAATTTATTAGATCGCGGTTTGTGAACTTTCCTACTATTATTAGTGCTGGAAGGAGCAAAACAATAGGACATATTAACACCCAAGTCATAATTAAAGTTACGAAATGCCAATATAAGTTCACCTCGCATCCTACGATACGATAAGAGGGAAATGATTAGGCGTTTTAAACACTCATCGTAAGAGAATTTAGAAAGACCCTTCTTTAATTTTCTTCCCACACGCTGAACGCACTCAGATGGGCTAGTATGTTTAATCAGGCATGGACAAGATACTCTAAGTATGGTCTTACATAGGTGAGATATAAAATTCGAAACATCTCGTCAAAGAATTTGAATGCTCGACGAAGTGACCATAACGCATGGGACCCTTTGGCTACAGCTGTGTGGCGATGCGTAATTGCTTCAAGTTGTCACTTATTATTATTCCCAGGTCTTTATGTTACTGCACGCATGGAAAAGATTTGCCGTCAATAGTATGCTAATAAATATCACTGTGTCCGATGTGCATGAACATACGCTTTCCAGAACTAACTTCTATGCCCCGACCTCGAGCCCATCTGACTGATTCGCTTACGTGAGCGTAGAGATCAAAATGATCAGCCTCACTTCTTATTATTCTCCAGATTCTGACATCATCCGCAAACAATAATGTGGACGACTTAAGCAATGGCGGCAGTTCATTGGCGTAGAGAAGAAAAAGTACTGAGATAGCTCAACAACAAACATAACCTTAATCGAAACACAAATTAAACGTGATACATGCGGATGAAAAGAAATGGTGAAGTGTAGGTAGGAATGAAAAACTACTATCAAATTAAATGTATCCATATAGAGGGCTTGACACTTATACACATCTTTACCAAAATATATCGTGTTGTTCCGTCCCACTTCTTGTAACCAGTTTTCGAAAGATATTTTTGTTCCTCCGGCCTTAAATAGATAAATGTCAACACTATTCAGTCCAGTTGTAAAGCATATACCTTTACTGCTTGCTTAAGCCGTCAGGTCAGAATAAAGCCTCGACCATTTGGTCACAATGTTTAATACACTACTGTGGAAACAAGCGCATTGGGTCGGCTGTGATCTGATGCATATAATACTTCACCATTTAGTAAAGAAAAATAGGAAGTATGATCTCTACATAAAATGGGATTGGAGGTAATTCGAAGGTTGGATACTGATGTTTTCATCTCAACACGAGGTTTTCGATTGACTCTTAGTCACCTATTCTTACCTAGTCTTAACAACTGTTTGATCTAAACCCAAGCTGTTATTTAAATATCTGTGGCGAAATAGAATAAGCTCTCATATTTAGTACCATTATATCACCAGTGCCTCTACTTATGGTCCAAAGTATATGAATATCGGAGGGAATAAAATTAGTCCCATTGGAATAGAATAAGGTGTTGCTTTGAACCCTTGAGAGGACATCAAGTGTTCGCCTAGAAGACTTTAATAAAGTTGTTTGGACAACCTATAAAGTAGTAGATTCAAAGATGCCTAAGGAACAAAGGACACATTACAGCCCCAACTTACAGGTACTTAATACAAAGTTAACACTATAACTAAACCTAATCATGCATTTCATGTAGCTTCAAAATTTTTATAGCTGGGGTTTTATCTAACTCACAGAGAGAAGCTAAATAATTGTCCCTTCCCACTAGTGATTTCAAAACACGAAGATTGAGTTCACTAAGATTCTAATCAGCTAATCAAAAACGTCAGTTTCATCAAATTTAAAATGAATCAGATAAGTTGTCAAATTCCTCAAGAATGTTTTCTCGTTTATTTGCGCCTCTCCATCGTACTGTGATCGTAACTTAGATACTCTAAGGTTCGTTTAATCAGTTAGCCAAAGAGTAAAAATCAAAAATTGATATTCGCTACGGTGGTTACCAAATTCAAGTGACGAAGTAAAATAGGCCGATAAGAGATAATAATTAAGTGTATGAGACCAAAACAGTAACTAAAAACAAAACACAGGCGAATTGACTGATGCTAATCTTATGCAAAACAAAAATGTGATGAACATACAAACAAAGTCGCCATAATTTCTAACCTTACACTTAAGTGCAAGATAAAGTGTTATTATCGCATGAGACTTACATATTTTGGAAGTTTTGCTCCGAAAAACTAAAAACTGGCTTATTTTATATCTATTATAATTGTTATCGGTACGACATATTTGGGTTGATTACTTGTAATTTACAAATAAACCTTGACACATGAATTAAAATCTGGTTTTGCTGTAATTAGAGGTCGTATACTACAAACGAATCAACCGCTTTTGCTCTAATAACGGACGAGAGTGAAGTTTGGATTTGACAAATTACGAATTAAGCCAGTGGACCAACAAAATGTAAACACTTATCTGCATAAATATAATGATAAGACAAGCATTATTCAAAACGTTGAGACACATCATACCTACCCTATGGTTAAGACCAAAGGTGTTAGTACATCTGTCTATTTCGGTCACCCACTCTATGCTAAAGCAATGCCTCTTACTAAAACTGTGTTGCCGATCTACTAATAAGCTTGTTAGTAAAAGATGGTCTCTAAAGCTGCCGTGGAACAGAATTTCTATGATTTCATTGGTAAATAAAAGAAGAGGCATGAGCCAACAGATCAGAGAACAGCTCTGTTGACTCTCCGCTTGAAGGATTTAACCCAAAATCTCATCACTAACCTCCCAAGAGAAACGCTCCATAGCCTACTGATTCGTACTGCAGTTTTTAACCTATGCTTTTTCACAGTCTTTCCAACTTCTGCTTCTAAATAACGTCCTCTTAAGTATATTTTTGTGATTCAGGGGGGTTCTCACCTAGTTCAGTACACCGTGATCATATTTCATCGATTTATAATATTAATGCTCCGATCCAAACTGAGTAGATTTTGCTTCTACGTTTAATTATGGTATAGGACTTCCTTCTTCATGATATCCACAGATGGTCAGTATCCTTTCTACGACGGGTAGACATAGTAAAACCCGTTCTCTAGACGACATCTTATAGGTGTATTAGTGGCAGTATCGAATAACTGACGAACCGTACAATCTGAAGTCCTGATGTTACCGCATCCTTTGCAATAATATTCATTATTTCACAACATTTGGAGGCATACCGGTAAATTGTAGCAGATATCGAGGTCTTAAAGTACGAGTAAATACATACTACTGACAGACTGTTTGCATGTCACACCGACACTTCTGAATCCCCGCCTTCCACATCCGTAAATATCCGCCTATGTATGAGATAATGGGGTAAAACGTATCTTCACTATGATTTGTTATAGCACATGTCGACTGACATAGAACTTGAACTGAGCGTTATTCTTAAACTTCATAACCTGGGGTTATAAAATGAGGATAAAGGTACTCTTTCCTCTGTGAAATGCTGGTTTTTCATTCTAGCCCAACATCACAGGTAAAGTTTTACGCATGGAATGGTGAGGGCGGTAGAGTTAATGGCGACAAAATTGAGTTACTCCACAGGTTTACTGATTACCCTTGCACCTTCTGACGTAAAACAAGCCTAGGGGAAGTAACCAAAGATCTGATGAGCGAACCCCGATTATGCTTATAGAAATCAAACGGAACAAATTGCACATGGTGTAGGTCAGCTAATGGAAGTAAATATAAACGGCAAAAGTTCGTACTTTGAAAATGCAGCACCATTCACAGTAAGTGTATGCATTACTGAAGTCACAGAGAAAATGAACCGGAAAAATTCAAACCAGTGTTTGCAGCGGGATCGCCAAGAAATGAGATCATTAAACACCTGAATAAAGTTACGACAAGAATGCCATGATAACCCCAATAACCAAACTTCAACTATTTGGCCTCAAAGTAAAAACAACCCGACAAAGTCAAGGCTTATGTTATTACACCAAACCACATCTTTCTGTATATTGTGCGACGCTTATTCGTATCTCTCTCAATCAATCATTATATTCAAACACAAGCGTTGCGCTCAACTAGGAAAGTGCCACTATGTAAAGTTGCATCAAAAAACATTGTGCAGTTGGTTCTCAACCACATGAACCTCGGAGCCAGACATACGATACCACGAGACAATATGAGAAATAGACATTAAACATTTAACGCGGAGAAATACAGAAGAATGGAGAAGGCGGGAATAATAAATTGAATTAGTCCGAGTTCATCGGATGGCATGGCTCGGCCTTGCAGGCGTGGTCCCAGCTGAATGTTATCTTGTATCTTCTATTCCTATTAAATATATTCTATCTCTAGCCTAAGCTTGTTCTCTATCACGTATTGGTAATTGTCACAATGCAATGAGTTGGTGTAGACGATGCTGTAACTTCCACGTAAGATCTTATAGATTAGGCAGTTACATCATGATAAATCCACAATTTTAGGATTAGGTCTACTATTAGAGCAGTGCTAATATCATAATAGACCGTAATTCTAAAGATTCACATCCAAAATTTGGCACGGAGAGATCAGAAACGGTGAACGCGGGGACACCTAGTCAGTGTGGCATGGCTCAGCTACTCAGGCGTGGTAGCATTACGCGACTTTTTCCTTTTCATATCATATGTATTATTTCTTGCAGCCCAAATTTGTTCTCCAGACGACCCTATCTACAACCACCTACTGTCACAAAAGTACAACTCAGTCTAGATAATGACGAGACTTCTATATAAGGTCTCACTGATTGGACAGTCACAGCAACTTAAGTTGATTGGTCAAGGGTCGATCACAAACATCTAAGTAAATGTCTGAATATTATAACTCAAGTATTGATTCGTTTCCTTATTTTGTATAATCATTGCGCTTCATATCATTTCGTATTGAATGTTGAAAAGCTTTGTATGTTTGAAAAGATAACCTCGCGGTTCACTGCACTGTCTACGATCTACATAACGACCTATTCACTATCAGTCCAATTTATTATATCGGTAAAACGAGGGGTACCTGTTATGCATCGACAAGCATAATGAATGGTAACTTTTGGGATCCATTTATGGACCAA